AATTTTCACAAAGGCCAAAGTTTGATACATTTTGACATGACCTAGGACCCAGGAACACTGGGTATATCAGCTACAGGTTCAGTGGTAAAATTCCAGGGAGAATATGGTGTGTATTGAGAATAGCATTTAATTCAAAACCATATTTCCAGAAGTCTCCACCAACAGTTACACTATATCATTGCAAATATTGCGCGAAACAAACACATGTGCATTGTACCCAAGATGTACTTATCATATATTTAAATAATATAATGAGTTGCATTATACTTGCATTTAGGTTTTGTTATTATCTAAGACCTATTAGCAGACAGATGCTTTCATGTTGTCACCATTAACAACATTTTGCTTTGTTTTCACTTAAGAGATAAAGATTCTATGTCATTGTGGTGCCACTCAGTAACAGATCACAGAAGACCCCATGGCTTCCCCTTGTGTGCCACTTTTTTTGTTCTTACCACAATTTGACATCCTCTGTGATCTATTACTGAACAGATGCATGGCAACATTGAATCTCTTTGTTAATCCGCAAACAGACACTGTACTCTTCTGATTGGGTGTGGTGCTTAATTGTACCTTTGCTTATTTCTTCAATTTAAGGTGGGATTTTATTTTAAAGAAAAGAAAGCAAGGAATATCATTTAATACTTTGATTGTGGCTTACCCTCTGCTTGGCCAATTTGAGCTTAAAGCGATCGAAGTCAGTGAGAGTTGCTCGCTTCTTCTTTGTGGCCAGTTTCTTGGCCCAGGCTGTCTTTTCCCACTTTTCAAGGATCTCTCCCTTCTCAAAGGCATTCTTCACTGGTCCACTCTTAGCAGAGGGTCCAACTTTGACCTTGAAGTCAGTGAGGGAGAGGTGCTTGAAGTTAAGGGCTTGGCGGCACACATTGGTACAGGGCCCATCAATCAGAGCCTGTTGAAAAAGATTTAAGTAAAAATTCTGCTGATTAAATTTTATTTTCCAAGGCCAACGCAATTTTACTTAATGTAGTATTGATAAGGAAAAAAACCTCTCTTGCTTTCTCAAGTCTTGCAGTAATTTTTTGCAAGTCAATTACAGATATTAGTAAAAATTTGTATTACGATACATAAGAAGTGGATAGCTTACATATAAATTGCTTTCCGCTCCAAAGATCTAATTCCCTTTACTGACTTCCATACAATTCCTAATATGTTAGTTTGGAGAATTTGGTATTGGGTCAACTAATAATCCCCTAATTTTCTTTATTCACATTACTTGTCTACTTGATATCGCATTGATATTGTAAGGAGAAGTTCTCTCTTGGTCAATCATGGGAGTTCAAGAGCACTATCACCCTTAACTCCCACGATCTGATTGTCAGTTCTTCCCTCTAGCTGCTATACATTTCCTTGTACATCGGTTATGAGAATTTGCTTTTCAATCAAGGTAATATCTTGTAGCTGATGAGTTTAAGTATTCTTGTTACCTGTTTGCTGAATAATGTATGGATATTATAGGGGAAAGTAACATGTTAATCAGTTCTGGAAGTTAAAGTGTTAAGTCCCCATTTGTGTGTACATGAACATCTGTCACTGCAGGTGAGTTTTCCCTTTTTAACTTTATGAGTTGAGTTCCCCCCTAACAAGTGATATTCAGTGGGAGATCTGTTTGTAACTTGTCTTATACTATCAATCACTGAAGAGGACACAGATGAGGAGAGTAAATAGAATGAAAACAACTAGGGGCTGTTATTTTGGTGTAACACATTATAAGATTTAAAATAATAACTGAGTTTTTCTAAAGATTTTGCTGAAAAACACAAAAAAGAAACAACTGACACTGAAATAAAAGGAGTGACAAAATAATTAAGATAATAAATTACAAGGAGACAATTTGACAAATCAGATGACTTTGTACAATTGCTTGGCAACCAGGTACATAGTATACCAAGACGGCTGCCTTGATGGAAACTAATTCAAAACATAATACAAGGCTTTCAAGGAAAGAAAAACAAAATTAACAAAATAAATTTCACTTCAGTGTGCCAAGAAAAGAATGCAACAGCCAAGAGCACGAAGAAGGTACAGCTGACTGCATAAAACATTGAGATCATTGTTATTGTATAAAAATAAGCTTGTTATAAACCATCCTACCCAGACGAAGGGTACTCGCTTAGATTCAAGACACAGAAATCAACTGAATCGAACCATTAGTCAAGCAAAGTACATATAAAAGAAAAAAACATGCTGATTTCTTTAGGAATGAGCGAAACTCATGATCAATTTTGAAATCGACCTCTCCAAATACACAAACGGAATCAAACCCCACTTGCAACTTCCTAAATGATGTTTGATTAGTCTATAATATTGATAAAAGCATTTCTAACAAATTATTGACATGATATTAACTTCAGATCGTTCATATAAAATGGAGATATAATCTGTAACAACACTTACTCGATTCTGATCCACCACATCAACTATGACACAAAGTTTTCCTTCATCGGGCCCAGAGTTAATAAGGGCTACACGGCCAATCTCCACCAAACGCTTGTACACCTGAAGGATTTTTTCACAAAAAATGAGCACAATGCGACACTCCAAAGTTTACTTATTTTGACGAATACTTCTAAGTGTATCACACGTGGACTTACCATCTTGGAATATCCGCGAGAAAGGACAAATTTTTGTCAAGGTCCCGTATGTAATGAGGCGCGCAAAGCGTTAAGGGTATACTCTCAGTTAACCGCTGAATGGTATAATTGGCGGCGCAAATGTAGAGGAATGGATGAGCTGGGTCATACTACTATTGACGGTCAAAATAGACATTTAAGAGTTATTTAAGAATTAAAATGGCCTTTTTTTTTCACATTAATCAATATTAAGCTTATTAAATTTCTCTTTTACTATATTATGAGCTGGTAGTAAAATAAAAAAGTCCGAAGTCAAAGGGTAGTCAAACGAACCATTGGGTATAAAATTTTAGAGGTATACATCATGACTGATAACTGGTAAGGAAAGAGAAAAACATTCAATTCAACCTAAATTAACACAGGAGACTAAAAGAATTGCAAAAAATTATCATCCATACTTAAGAGAGAATCACACTTTCCACTCTAATACGTCGAAAAGCCCATCAATCCACGAAACGATCCAAATTATAAGTGACTGAAGAATTAAATTTTCTAACCGGAATTTCCGGTCTGTAAATATGCACAGCAAAGGTCGCCGTACATAGTGTGACTATCCCATGAATAAGCTCAAATTAGATTGACATGTTGGGATCAAATTTATCAGATTTATGGCTCAAGGCTGAGGTGAAGACAATTTTTAGGTACTTTATTCCGACCGAGTAAAGGCGAGGCGGCCGGAAGCTAGTGTGGATGGTTTGCAAAATTTTTCTTTTTTTCTTATCTATTTTCCAGTTTCTAAGAAGACAGTTCCTTTGCTTACATTGAAAGGTTGGTATATGAAAATTCTTCTTGAGAGAGTAGGTTATAAATAGTCTACTAGTCTTAAATATTAACTGCATAGTTCTCGCTCAAGTTCCGACGGCTCGCATGAAGACGACACGATGTGTGGGCCAGAAATTCAGTTTAGGAGTGCAAAGTGGGAGTATATCATAACTGGTTTACACGAAAGGAATACTGAGAAACATTTTATCAATAACGCTGAAGAACTAGAGTTTCTGTGTCTAAGAAAGAGTAGATTTCATTAAAATCCCGGCTTCTTAAATGTCGTGAAAAAATAACTATAAAAAGCAATAGCAATGTTGAAAGAGCTGATTTTTGGAAAAAGTTTCGGGTCGTCTACAAAGTCTGGCGGTCAACGTTGTCAAAAACCCTACCACGGAATTATTCTGAGGCTTCATTTACGAGAACTTTATGAGTGCTCACTTCGCTATCGGCACAAGAAATATATCTATTTTCGTTTATCGAGTCTAAAATTACAACCTTCAGCTCTCTTTCATCGCATGACTCCTGCGTGGGTAACGACCGTTAGACAGTGTCTTTGGAGGTCTGTCATGGTGGTCCATGAAAACTTCGATTTGGTATCATATCAGATCCTTTCGTTTTAAAGGCAAAGGTATGCAAAGTGTTTGTTACCTAACCGGTCTCGTTTGCGTGGGACTCAAACAAAAGAATGAAGTTTAACGTACGAGCATTTACGTCTGGGGCTCAAAATAAAACAAACATAGAATGGAATATTTCCTCCTATGAGCGGATTAATACAAATTTAATGCGATCGTGCTTTGAACGATCTTTTTTTTTCTTTCCTTTCTTCGAACACGGTATCTTAGTTGTTAATAAACAGACAACGGAGACGGATTTGTATCACAGCGACGAAGACCTCAGTTGTAGTGCAACCCTCTGTTTGAGGACTTCGAACAAAGGGCGTCAAATACGAGTTGATCACGTTTACGAGCTTAAAAATATATTACTTAACTGAGGTCACCGTATTAATTGCTGTTATTAGTAAATAGACGGTAGAGAGATTTGTATCGGAGCAACAAATGAGTTAAGTGTAACAGAACCCTGATCTTTTGCTCAAGACCAACTGTCGGTAAAAATGGAACAAAAGGCGTTAAATATGTGTTTATAAGCTTAAAAAATATATTGCCCGTTGAGGTCACGCTATTTTTCAGATTAACTATTCTTCTTCGTCTTAAGGTATGTAAAAATCACCAAGGCAGCCGCTTGTTTCCAAACAATACGAACACTCCAGAGTCAATTACAGTTTTCCTTTACCACACCACCACCCGCAAAACCCTCACAGGTTTCAATGACATCTACCCAGAAAATTGTGCCTCGTCATGCAGGGTATTCAGATGTAGCTCGTAATATTCCCTGCTCCCCTCCTTTCAGAGAGCAGTTTGCGTGCTAGTACTAACGGCTGAAATCAATCTATACGCAATAACAACTCAATTTACGACAAGCTAAAGCGCGCTAAAAACGTTACCAAGCGCGATGTGGTTTTAGATTACAACAGAACGTCTTACAATCCTCTTTGTTTGTTTAAGCCGAGATTAATATCAACAATAAGGTCGATCGAGGTTTGCACGCGGATATAAGAGTGAGTGAAGTGTTTGGAAGGGTTGATTGAAATTAAGAAGGAACATAAAGAAAAATCAGACATATCGCAGAGCATGGAGAGTTAGGAACTTTCTCCAACAAAATTAACTGCTTGAAAGTAATGGATCTCTACCAAGTGAGTTTATTCTTTCTTATAGATCAAGGACACTGTATATTTATAGTCAGTACGCATCAAAAACAACAACCTTCACTCTGCACATTTCACCTTTCATAACAGTTGGTTTTTCTCACGACCACTACAGTAACCTTTCTTTGGTATTAATAATTTGTCTCCGCGAGAAAAATACATCAATCACCCTGACGTATTCAATGGGCTTTTCCAGGACTTAGAAGACGAAGAAAGATATTTTATTTGTCTAACACATAATAGTGAAGAGGTCAAAGAACTCTTCTTAGCGATTTATTGAGTTCTTTTCTGTAACGTGAAAATTTGCTTTACAAGAGAGGGAAAGCACAAAATATCGGTTTGATAAGATGAGAGAACACAGAAATTTGAAGAATAAACCAAAAAAAAAGATTAACAAGAGTAGAAATCAAGTGACAATTGGCTATAAAAATTTAGGCTGACTTTTTCGAGGTGCTCGAACAGTGATGTTGTTCCTTTAATCCTTTCACTGGTCACTGCCTAAGAGCTACCAATTCTCCTTACAATATTAATACATTGTCAAGCGGTGAAAATGAAGAAAAACAAGTGAATGTTACTTGACTCAGAACTAACGTGGCGCTAAACAAGAGACAGAGACAGGAGAATTGATGTTTAGATGTTGCGCTGGATCGAGAGTGTTGGTGACGGACGCTACGAATAAGTTGAAACAAAATGCAGAGCTGAGCTTTCGTAAAGTGACACCACATCCGTGTTACATAATATATAAGTTTTTACTTTTTTCCGGCTTAAGATCACAGACAATAGTTGATAACCGAGTGCAATTATGTCATCTGAAACTTTCGGATGATCGGCTCTGGACTCAGTCAATAGTAAACCGCAAATCTGGCAGAAATGACAAGAGCGGTGATATTCAACAACTTTCCGGTACCTAAACATTCATAGTTCTTGAGATCTATAATAGGCTTTGAACGATCAAAAACTTTTTGGGTGAAATTAAACCGCGAAAAAATTGGCCTTTAAAGAGTAACTTTTTCCTTAAATGCTTGGTTCCGTGATGTCTTCCTGATTTCCCCATAAGACAGCTCGGGAAATCATTTCGCACACACCTGTTCCGAAAAGAATTAAGTTTCTTTTCTGTCGTATTTACATGTACCGTGATCTGCATAATGACTCATTCTCTATATTTGAATTTCCATGAAAGGAAGGTTCAACGCATCACATGAACTTAAATGAAGAGGATTTCTGCGGAATTAAGACGAGGCCTTGACAAATTACGAGGAGGCCAATCAAATTTAAGAAAAACTGACAGGTAATAAGCTCACACGCAAGAAACAGTCACTTTCTTGAAGTAACATGGTGAATATTTATCCAACAGGAGACAATGCGTCCGGTAAGACTCGATAATTTGTATAAAACCTTTTGCTATGTCTCGGATCGTTCAGCATTTCCGTATCTAGCTGTTATTAACACTTATCAACTTCTGAGTTACAATAGAGATTTCATGTAAGAGCACCAAAGAAACCTATCGAGATAAACCGATAATGCAGAGGAGGATTTTGGTTTCACTCAGGAAAATCGATCTGTAACGTTAGACAACAAAACAAAGGGGATGAGATTTTGTTTTGAAGAGTATACGTTCAGATCAGAACTCCTGATCACAGCCTCCTAATTCTCACAGTTTCGTTTTTCTCGACAAATGGTTACAAATTAAATCTCAATAATGTTTCAACCGGCTGCCTCAGCCGGATTTGACTGGTTTGGCGGATGATAAGCTTACAGAGCTCATATGCTTCAAAAGAGGAAGATTTGTTTTGGTAGATCAGAAGCTTTTTAACTTTTTATATAAAATATGGGTCCCCGTGTTTCAGGTTTCCGAATCGATGTAATGTTTACCAGGCCGGAAGAATGTGTTGCACGTTCCAATCATGTGTGCTGCTGAAAGTTAATTGCAACGCACGTACGAAGCTTTGTGTTTCCCCTTTTCGTTAAATATTACAAAGGTTTCAGTTATCTTGCTCATGTCTAAAATCATTCTAAATATATTTAAATATGAAACATGAAAGTTCCTTTTGGGACGACTGCCTTCGATGTATGAACATAAATAATTTTCTATATCCGTTCATCTATTTGAAGATTCTGACATTTATTTTAGAGATAAGTCTTTTTTTTTTTTTTTCCTTCCTGGTCCTGATAAGATTAAGCAACCGACGATAGAGAAGACTAATTTATCGCGGTTACACTCTCACTTGACACGTTAAAAACCTCATTTTCCATGAATTTTCATGAAACATTTTCACGGGAAAAGGGCCATGAAAATAAATAATATGGGATGCCCTGTGTGGTACTAATTAAGGAAAGATCTTTTGGAAAAAAAAAAGGATCGGATTGTAAGTGACTTAGCTTCGTTTTGCGTCATTTACAGCTGATCTCCTCGGGGTATTTTGAAATTGTCAGCATCTAAATTATTGTGTTTCTTCCTCGACTTTATAGCTCGCACGTACTGTCTATGACAAGTGTTGCTAAAGGGCAGTAGTAAAGCCCCAACCACACCGCACCTATTTAAAACGTTATTTGCTAATCCAAGAAACATTCTCCGTAGCAGTCTGCTCCCTCTCCTGTTTGCCAAATGGTAAAACTGTGAATAATTAGGCGTAATTCGAACGAATGATACATCGAGAGAGAAAAAACTTTTCTTTAGTAGCTTTAACACCTTTGCGTGACTTCCACTTAACTGAAAGAGATGAGACTAATATTTCACCTAAAAAAAACAATTTTTATTACTTCAAAAGCTAAACAGAATAAGTAGAAATTTCCTAATGAAAGCCGGCGCAAACTAAAACTAGGATTTCAGTATTATTAAAGGTAAATTTTCCACTCCAATTTTTCTCCGAGATATTCCTTTCCAAGTGCAATGCTTACTTTTCCATCCTCGTTACAAGAAAACAACTTAGTCAGTTCATGTGTTAATTACGTCATAAAAACTGGATCTCAATTTTTGCAGTTATTTTGCAAATGTTTCGTTCCTTGTTAAAAAAAGATTATTGCCCAGTATGAAAAAAAGAAAAATGGCAGCAAGAAACCTTGCAGAATTTTATTTCACTCTAAGAATTCGACTGTGATCTCCGAAAAAGAAAAAAAAAAACCTTCATCTGCCAAAAATTAAACTTTAATCTTCGTTTTCCTTTATTTTTGAGCACAAATTTGAAGCACTAATAGTTTTGCACTTGCCGCAGAAACTATTTACTTTCATTTATCGCTTTTCTTTGATAAAACTGTCAAAGCGAAAGCTGTTTGAAGTATATTTTAAAACACCAAATTGTATGGTTGCCGGAAAGGATAAAGTTTCCCTTTTAATTGCTGCCAGATCGTTGTCATTTACTCCATGTGGATAACAGCGATCATGAAATTTCGCTGACACGTGCCACTTGTATGGCTGATTATACTTGAAAAATGACTGGACAATTGTTTTCAGAACATCACTAAAGTTCCGGTCCACAGTCTTTTAAAACTTCATTTGCATCAGAAGTGTGCAGCGAGTGGCAAAATAGGATGACAGATGTTTAAGCTTAGTTTGTGGTGTGAAGAAGTTTCAATTCACGAAGCTTTGTCTTCGCGTCTGCCAAATTTTTCACGTCGAGAGGAAACATAGGGGAGAAATCAATTTAATTTTTCATCCCTGTGGCAAATTTCGTGAAGGGAGACTGATACAGAAGAGCCCAGGTGAGGTGTTTTTCGGAATAAAATCTCGATATATTTATCGCCGCTGTTTATTCACTTGAGATTCAATATGAATCTGTCAGAAGGAAGCTTTGTCCGCGACATCGAACCGTAAGCTTCTTAGATTTTTCCACCGAAATGGAGCCGCCAGAATTGATATTGACGTGATACGAACGGATTGGATGTAAACACTTCTAATGCCACAGCCCGCCTGTTTCACATCGGTTATGAAAAATTCACTGAGGACATCGCAGGGTTTCACAGAAGGTTCAAATCAGCGATTCATTGATTTGTTCTCTGTTTTCCGCCTCAGGGAGACGCGTTTAAAATATCTTTAGAAACTAAGCGAGCCCCACGAGCCACGCATATGTTTTCGTCGCTCCATGCTGACATTTTTTTTTGTCAAAATGCAAATGTTTTTATTCTTAAACATTAACTGTTTTCGGTGTATTAAAACCAATATCACTTCGGACCTGCAAAAATCGATTCCTGTCAAGAGGATTAAACGGCCAATTTAATCTGGCGCTCTTTGGTTTCGTACCTCTTGGCAAAAGCTAATATTCTGCCTGCAGAACTGACTATAATTAAGCTACGATTATTCAATATCGAGGTTCGAAAACATCTTTAAACTAAAAATTTCTAATTGAGTTCTTCATCTGATCTGATAAACAGAGAACCCACGCTAGCGCCACAATGTACCGGAACAGATTCTGGTAATACACACTTACCGTGTGAACAACTTGTCGGGATTCAAGTGACATTATGAAACGCTTATTCCGCGCGCTCACAGATACCAGTTGTCAAAAGCGCCGGAAAAGAAAGCAAAGAAAAACAAAGCACTCTAACCATTTGAATGAAACAATGGGAGCATGTCTGGACTTGCAGAGCTCTGCCCCTCTAAAAATTCTGCTGGTTCCATGCGAATCTCAACCGTCTTCTGCAACAAGATACTGGATTGTGGATACAAGAAAACAGGGCAAAATTCCCTTCTTTGGGTCTAACAGGTGCAAAATTGTGCAACATATGGGCAACAGAGTTACGGAGCCCTTTCATGGACATGTCACGACGAGAGAAGGACGAACTATCATTAAAGGGTTTTTAACAGACGGAGCCGTTGAAGGGAAATATTTTGAACTCGTGTTGCAAGCTTCTCCGCAACAACTAAACCAACCCTACCGGAAAAATTCTGCAAGAAAAGCTTCATTGTGCGGATTTCTTCAGCGCAGTACAAAAGATGAATTTGGTTCATTCGAGGAGACACATGACGCATTTTTACATACAGAGGGGGAAACCAGCGAAGTTTTTGACACACAAGAAGAAATTCTGACATTTGCAGAGGAAAAAGTTTCCTAATTTCCTTAAAAGTTGTACGAGGCGTCATTCTGCTAAAGAGGTCTGGTTTGGTTAAACTATACACTTACGTGGAGTTCAATATAACCGCGGAGATATTGTTTCTTGATTTTATGCCGGCAAGATTGTTAAGAATATGGATGTCACAGCATAGAATTCTTAAACTTTTTGTTTACAAAATAGACTGACATAGACCCTAGATGGTGAAGAAATGTTGCGTTAACCTTAGATATTAAATATGATTTGAATTGAGGAATTTGTTGATGGTTAAAAATGGTATTTAGCCGACTGTGGCACGAATTAAACATGGATTTAGGAAGGTGGTCTGTTTTCATGATTCTCATCGAGCGACAACAAAATCGTTAGCAACGCATGCTGCGAGGAATTCAAACATCTAATTTATTATATAGAACCTTAAAGTTTCGTTTACAATGTTTATTTTTTTTCTCTAATTAGTATAGATTGAATGCCGTATTGAATACTTAGTAGATTCCTCTAATCACTAATATTATTCAAGCTGAACTTTGCACTATCTCATTTACTCCAGTCAACATAAGCTACCGTGCGCTTGACAATTTCTTAGGCATCTTAAAACTCTTTAGCGTTTACAATTGGCTTCTTAACTCTGAAGCATTAATTTCTGATTCTTAGTTTTTGGATAGGTTAAAAAGCAATAACTTTTAAGGTCTTTTTTTCAGTGACTCGGTGATCGTGAAACATCCTGATTACTTTCAGCTGCAGTGTAGGCGTAAATGATTTACATTTTTTAAGTCTGTCAGACATAAAAAGAATTTCGAAAAATTCTACGCCTTATCTGCATGCTGTATTAGTTTAGCGCCATTACTAGAATAAGCCTTAATTTTTGACGCAGTTTGTAATGTCTACCGCTTTCTTCCTCTTATTTTGCGGCTAATTAAGTGAGAGTCTTGAGTCCACTCTATCACGTGCGTATGGCCAAGGAAAAAATAGCCTTTTCCTGATATCTTGCTAATTTGATTTCTTCGATCAAAAAGGTTATTGAGAACGCAATCTAAAACTAAACATTTCGTCTTGCTAACTATTATGCTTGAGAATGGAATGACGACTTAGTGAAACCGGCTCAAATTTTTGTCGGAAAAAAAAGAAAACGCTACATTAGCTATAGTTCGCTTATCCGATCAAAAGGCTTTAGTCAGACCGCCATTCAAAAATTGTCACGTCGTCCTGCAAGATATCATGTTTGAGAATGAGGTAAATTCTGCGTCAATTTGAGTTCAAAGTCCACCAAGAGAAATTGCCTCCCTTGAATTCTTGATATTTGGATTGGTACGATCGAAACGTCTAGTTTGGCCACACTCTCAAAATTATTTTTCTTAAATGTCTGATGAGACCACAATCTAAAAGTTAGTATGTCGTCGTGGCTAATATTAGGGACCTTAAGCAGTCAGGACGGCAACGCCAAGGAAGACTTCGATTAAAAAAATGAATTTCTACTTTGAATTAGAATTTCAAAAATGGCTGCATTTGTTTACTGTCTCATACGGCGCCACACCTCAACTTCAGCATAACGTATAAGCGTTGAGTTCCAAATGGAAATTCAAATAATTTGCAGTCGTGGTTTCGGTTCGCAGACGACGCAAATTGTGGTGATTTCACGTTGTTGCTTTGCATAGGACAGCTAAGAAATGTACAAAATTTTAAACGCACGTGCTGAGCTATTCTGCCAATTAGATCTTTTATTTTTCCATGTCGTCGCTGCCGTCGCCGTCGTGATTTGCTTAAGGTCCCTATTACGCTCGAGAATGCAGCAGGTGTTGACGTTTGATCGATGGAACGGGCACGACCTTAACATGAACTCATTACCAGGCTCCTCCCTCAAGCCTCTGATAACGAGGCTGACAAAGACCTTAATTGAAAGCTTTTCAATCTGATTTTATTTATCATCCATATTTTTCTTTCAACAGCAACCCTCGTAAAGTGAAAATATTCCACCTCCGGCTCCTGATCTTGATATTGTGTTCTTTTTTAGCACTTTGACGTAGCGATAGTCTTGATCTCAGAGGATCCCAGAGCTAGAAAAAGCTGTAGACCACACCCTTGTGAAAAGGAAAAAATGATTGCCATCTTGAAAACGCCCCCTCTCAAAATGCTGACACTAACCACACGGTGTTGACACAGCCTATTTATTGACAGTTCTTGTTTTGAGAACCCTTAAGGCTTCTGGTTACTCCTTAAGAACTTGGTCCTCAGTTCTCTTCATTGAAACAGATGTAGTCTTTTTTATGGCATACCGAAATATTTGAAAAATTACACTTGTTTTGCAGGATAAGAGAGTTTGCAGGTAATGCGTGCCTATATTAGCAACGCGTTCCATGTAGTACAGCGGTCCGTCTTGCCACGTAAAATTCAAGATGGCGGACAACGAAGATAAATACTCTATTTTGCTACCCACATATAACGAGCGAGAAAACCTACCCTTGATCGTGTGGTTGATTGTGAAGGCTTTTTCAGAGTGGTAAGAGTAAATCCTGGTTTTTTTTTAAACAATTTTGGTTACTGTCGTTCATGAACATCTTCATCCACGTCGGATTTCAAAAATTCTTTTATTGTTTTTTAAGTGGGTATGATTATGAAATAATAATTATCGACGATGGAAGTCCAGACGGTACCCAAGAGGCAGCCAAACAACTGGAAAATATTTATGGAACTGATATAATTGTAAGTCTTGCTAGAAAGCTCGCGTGCTTTTCCTTTTTGGTTGAAAATGTTCAAACACTTGTTGTGCGAGGTTTTGGAAGAAATAATATAAGCTTTGATCTATGTTTCTAATTATTGTAGCGGTTAAAACCAAGACCGAGCAAGCTTGGCCTGGGTAAGTAACTTACAAATAAAAGTTCTTGTTATTATCATTATTATTATAATTATTATGATTACTATTATTTTTCTAATGCATGTGATCCTTGTGACCAATGCAATATTAATTTCTGATACTGTACCCTTGTAGCTACAATTAATATTGTTATATACCTAGACTTTAACTTGTAAGTTTGATTCTTAGTCATGTACCCCTGATCAAATTCAAATGGGATACAATTGTGCAGTTGGTGCCTATGTGCCAAATACTGACAACAGCAGGTTTTTGCCATTTAATTATTGAAGGGAAAGTCTAAATATAGAACATAGCACCTAATGTATGGTCCCTCAGGAACCTAGTTAGTTTTTTTTTCCCTTAAGTTCTGATGTTTCCCTCAACTTCGTCTTGGGAGACATCAGAACTCATGGGAAAACAAAAAATTAACTGTTTCCTTATGGACTATACATTAAGTGCATAATATATACTGATGTGCATCTTGGAGGTACAACATCCAATTGTATTTTCCAACAAAGTTATCTGCCTACTTCCCCTCTGAAGGTTTCCATGGATTCAGAAACCTAACTGTAAATCCAAATTTTCTTTTTTTCTTGAAGTGATTTCTGATCTTTCAGGTACTGCATACATTCATGGAATGAAACATGCAACCGGGAACTTTGTAATTATCATGGATGCCGATTTATCGCATCATGTGAGAAATATTGTGTTTTTTCCTTTATACCACATTTACTTATATTTGTTTGCAAAATATCACATTGTTTGTATGAGAAGTACCATGATAGGCATTACACTTTTAAGTTGCATAACTCAAGACAAGTTGAAGTGATACTATAGTTTGAGGATCTTTTCGTACTGGTTTTTCAACAAGAGTTGTATTACTGTGAGGAAATTACTCAGAGCTAAATATGTGATTTTACCATATGACTTGTATGGCCCTAAACAGGCTCTTACTTGAAAAAAAAAATTATTAGAAGGGGCATACAGTAGGTGCAAGTGGGTCGGGAATACATTGTCTGGCCTTACAAGATGAGAGCTGGAAGGAGAAAGGAAGAGAGAGAAAGAGGGGTAGTCATTGATACAATGCTTTTTGCCTGAGTTTGGTTGAAGCAGATGCCGTTGGGGAATTTCTTGATTTTGGTTTCTGCCAAGTTGATCCTGAAAATGGTTTTAGTTGGGAAAGGAACAAGAATCCATATCTGTATCTGTGATGAACCACCATCATATTTAGAAGTCCTGTTTTCAATTATCAATTTTATCAATTTCTTATGTCAACAGCCAAAATTTATTCCAGAATTCATCAGGTATGTCAATAACTAACTGTATCCTTAGATCAAAGTTTTTTGTTTCAAAGCTCATATCTACGGTTTTTTTTTTAAGTCACTGAATACAATGCAAATAACCATCTGTAACTAAAAATTTTTTATGTCTGTTTTTTTCTCAATAATTTTTGATACAGAAAGCAGAAGGAAGGAGACTATGACATTGTATCTGGAACAAGGTATATTGGAGATGGAGGAGTGTTTGGCTGGGATTTAAGAAGAAAACTGATCAGGTGAATTGAATTTTTTCTTAATACTTTCAACAACTACCTATGGATATCTGGTTTACTATAGCTGAGAACAGAAGTCTTTGATACAAAAGTGTAATGAGTCAAGTTCAACAGTAGCTCATATTGTCTAGTTCTAATTCTGTGTTGAGAAAAAAAAAAGAGAGAGGAATGTTGCATAAACAAGTCTGTTGACTTTGAATGCCTCCACATTTTGACACATATTCTGCATGTGATCACTGTTCCTCCTTTCTAAAGTGGGTGCAGAATGTTGAGTAGTTACTTCATACATCATACATAGTAGCAAAGCCAAATTTGTTGTACTTGAAGGTGCATACAGATGCAACTTATTGGTGACTAAAAATTTGCTACTGGGAACCTATTTTTTTGCCACTCAGGTACTATCAAAGGCATTTTTTTTCTAATTTTGGGTCCTGAGTCATAACTAAGAATGCTGACCCTATAACTCAACATGTTTTGTTTATCTGTATGTGCGTTTGTTCTTTTACAGCCGTGGGGCAAATTATCTGACACAGGTGCTTCTCAGGCCTGGTGCATCTGATCTGACAGGAAGTTTTAGGTAAAAAATATTTCACCTCACATCAACAGTTTTTGAACTTGTCTTCCTTTGCCATCTGAGACTCCTTAAAAGTCTAGTGAGAGGCTCTGTTCCCTCCCTCCCTCCCCTCCCCCATCCCCCTTCTTCTTAGGTGAGAACCGAACCTTTGCAGCTCTTTGTTAAATGACTGAGTCTTTGTCTGGATTGTCTTACAATTGGATTGGAGATGGGTTTGGCTAAAATTTTTTTATTAGGGTCATCAAATTGATCAGTGACAGTTTTTCTACCTCACAATAATTCTGATTCTTTTATAATCTGGACAAAAACATAGAGTGTTATCTTTTGAAAGAATGCTATTTCTTCCCTTCTCTGACAGATTATATAAAAAGAAAGTGCTCGAGAACTTGGTAGATGCCTGTGTTTCCAAAGGATTTATCTTTCAGATGGAAATGATTGTGCGTGCAAGGCAGTTTGGTTACACCATAGGAGAGGTTAGTTACAGCGCCAGTACATTTTCTAATTAATGTCAAAGAGGAGCAAAGCTCTTGAATTGCCAACTTTTCATCTGGTCTGTCTATGATGAGGCTTTGTTTGAAATAGGGGAACTCAGTGAATGGGAGAAATGCTTTCATCTTTTTTTCTATTTTTTCCTTTTTGGCAAGCTTTAAATTGTTATGGCATGGTCATTTCCTGTATCTGCTGGGTTACTGTGTCTTTGATTGCTGTGTAGCCATGTTACAATGACCTTGGTGCGAGACTCACCATCCCCTTTCTTTTAAGAATATTTATACAATTGACAGGAATAGGTTCAGCTGTTGCTGCATGTGAGATAAATAGCACCCATTTAAAGTTGAGTTTGTGAGAAGGCTGTCAGTGTGTTTCTCAGAAATTTAACAAAAATTTAAACTGAGTTGATAATAAGGTATAAACTGAGTTGTTGGAAATATAAACTGAGTTGATAATGTAAATTGGTCACTGTAAAGAGTTTCAAAGCTGACATTTCGAGTGTTAGCCCTTCTCAGAAATGTTGTCATACACTGCGAGAAACGAGAGCAATGAGAAATTTTGTGCCAGACTCCTTGATTGCTCTCATTGCCAGTTGGCACAGCAAAGCAAACAGAGCCTCAGTGCTCTCTGATTAGGAAAATTGGTTACATGTTCATACATGTATTTTTAGATGCAAACGTTATCATCATACAAAGGCAATTCTTTCTTAGCTGCAGTTTGTCTTCCTGTTTCTTTTAGGTCCCTATCACATTTGTGGATCGTGTTTATGGTGAATCTAAACTTGGTGGTAGTGAAGTGGTCTCTTTTGCCAAGGGACTCCTTTATCTGTTTGCTACTACATAATAGAGAGGCTTAGTAGTTTAGCTTCTGTTAAAAAATATTTTATGAAGAGGTGTGGGTTTCAGATGTACTCTCAATCAGTCAACCAAAGAGGGTTAAAATACTAAACTGAGGTGCCATAGGAATGCGCCTCCATTGCATGCGTACTTGAATTGGTATCAAGAAAGTTGACATTTACTCAAGAATGAAGGATTTCCTAGGATACCAGTCAAATAATATTGCTGATTATGGCTGAGAGTAGGAATTAAGTCATTCACAGGTGCAACTGGGAAAACAGGAAATTACATACTTATCAACTTGGTAAAAAGAATCTGTTAGAAAGGTACTAATAACCCAGAACTGTGACCATTAATGTGTTTAATGATTGTAACCTCTTAAATGACTTCAATTTGTTGTAAGAGGTACCTGCCCTTTTCTCTCTCTCTCGAAAAACGTTTTCTTATTTTGGGGATTAACGAAAATTGTTTTAGATCAATAAAACTTGCTGTGTGCGTGGGTCAGTTTTCAGAACATCTTTATAAATTTCATTTAGTTTTACAAACGAGATCAAGAGGGCAATCTGTACATCTGAGTGCTATCATGAGTTTTATTAAGAATAATACAAATTAACAATAGTTAAGATAACTATAAAGAATTTTCTTTATATATTTAAAAATATGGTTACTTACAGTTATAACAAAATAAAAGTATTGTAGTAGAATATGGCCACAAATTTATTTCATGAGTATGATATTCTTTAGGGAACTGAGAGAACTTGTAAGATAATTCTAGCATTTAAACCTAGATATAGTGGGCTCGAAATACTTGAAATTCGCAAACGAGCTGAGTAATTATGCGTGGTTTCGTTTGTTTTCCATAGCTCAGTTTTTTTGGTCCTCGGAATCAGATTCATATGTTACAAAGAAATAATAAAACAGCAAAAACAACCAGCAAGATTAAAATTTCTTGCTTATTGTCGTCTCTTGAAAACGCGGTTGTTCAAAAACATTTCAATCCCTGCAACAAATACCAGCACTGACAGATTGATATGATTAAAAAAAAGCTTATAAACATGCCATAAAAATAACTTGACGAGTCTTATGTTATGTTCCGTTGTTCTATCTAGTTCTAATTTTGTTTTCTTTTGTTCTAAAAAAAGGAACAAAACCAGTAACCCGTGTTTACACGACGAATGTTCGCCACGCAACTTAAATAACTCGGGTTCACTCGCGGGTTTAAGTTAAGAGCTCCGTGACATTATCCGGATTCTACAGGAAAAAATGTAAGGAAAACTTTCACATCGCCAGGGCTGTTAAAATACAGGTCCCTACAGTTTCTTCGTCTGTCACAACAAGTATCATTACCTTCAACGCCAAACAAAGACACGTTAAAATAGTGTTTTGATGTTAGAGCAAAAAGACAAGATGGAAAGAATGAACTAAAATGGAACAAAGATGATAAAGGATGAAAAAGATGGGCGGATTCAGACCCAGTTTCCCGTGAGTAAATCCTCCTTGCTCTCCTTCGTTATGCAAACACGTGCGTTGGTTTTCAAATTCCCACAATTCCTCTACTCAACAATATATGGGATTTCGTGTGTCTGAATTTCTCATGACATTATCGTAACAAGTTTTTTTAAGCAGCTTGTGTGAATAGAGTCCTTAAACTTTTGTGAAAAACTAGATTATTTTATCGACAAAATGTAACAATTAAGGTTGAAAGGACAACATTGTTGCACAAAATTGACAATAATGATGTAAAGTTTCTCTCTTATCACAGATCGGCTGTGTTCCTCGAGGAAGTTAATTTTCGAAATCTATTACGCCCGCTAACTACCTATTAAAACTAGACTACTATACTAATCATTTGCGACGATTTTCTCCTGTGAAAATAGCCCATACGTGATCCAAAAGAAAATTATATCAAGCAAACTATTTATCAAAATACCTACGTATTAAAACATATCTCAGACTCATACTTCTTTCTCTCGTTACACATTGATAATTACTAAAACTTAATGTCAAGAGGGGGCGTTTCTCTAATCAATTCCGAAAATGTAGATCGTTAGAAAAACTAACCGTAGTGGATTAGAATGAATAACGTATTGGATTTTAACGACACGTCCTATAGAAGAGGTTTGATGAACAAAGAAAACAACAAAACGCGGAACAAACAGAACAAAGCAGATTTCGAGAAATATGCGCTTGCTGAATAAATAAGCCACATACCTCACCAGCTAACTAACAACAAACAGAAATTGTTTCTCGGAATTGTTTTGTGTTTCATTTCGCTATTTCCACCCCGTCGCTTTACTTCAGAACGCCCTATGAATGGATGAATCATTACTACAACGGTTCCACGGCTGACTGGCCCGACAGGCATATAGTTTTAAGCATACTAAACCAATCAGCTTTGGAGCAGAGGTTACCGAAGACACGGGAAGTGGCAATTAAATGTTCCCTTTTTTTTTTCGTCCTCATTGAGCTAACAGTATAGTGTTCCACTTGAAATGATCAGAAATTCATTTTCGGACTTGAATAGGAAGAACGCCTTAAATCGCTTCAAAGCTAACTAAAGTCGTAAACAAAGTTAAAATTCGGGGGTTCGGCGGGTATGGGAGGCGGAGTTTCGGGGATAGTTATATTCTCCAAATCCAATAGTCTCAATTTCATTTCCATATTTAGGAGGGTCTCCAACTCTTCATGTGACTCTTTTGACGGCATCTATACACAAGTAACAAAACAACAGTCGAAGCTTAAAAAGTATTCTCAATTTCTTTCAGGCAACTCTCCAATAACTACAATCATATTTACTTATTGACTCACTAGGAAGGCCGGACGGGACATATTTGGCACGTCATGATCTCGAGAAAAGGATTTTCCTGTCCAGCCTGACCTAACTCATTAATTATGCATTTTATCATATGACCGCTGCTCCCTTTTCTTCTCGTGGAACCCTAGGTAGGACTGAACTGTAAAGTTCACCTACTCGCAACGCACGCAATTTTTTCACACTTTTGCTAAAAGTATTGTCTTTCGACCATATATGGCTAAAAGCCTCCCTAAGGAAAAAACGCTAGGCCTCTCCCAACGGATTGATGTTCAAGCTAATGAAAGCTTACTACAATCGAAGAACTGCGTAACTAACCTCTTTGTTAAGAAGCGTTGCCAAGCCGTCTGTCCAATTGGCGAACTAAAGCGAAATAGAACAGTTTAAGAAATAATTTGATCATTAAGGATCCGATCTTTCACCTTTCATGGGATTTAGCAACAATAAATTTTTTGCAGAGGCTCTCATTAATCGGGAATATTTCCAATTTCCTATAGACGATCTACATTTCCATCGAGGGAAGGAACGCTAAAAATTTAAAATATCTTACGAAAGAAGTATCACAATTCAAATACTGACGATTATTTGGGTCGCTGCGATGAAATCGAGATGTTTTTCTTCTGCTTCAGACTCGTACATTAGAGAAAAACAAAATGGGACAAACGTCTGTGGATAAATATAAATCAAACACAGTGAGAAGGAATACAATCAAAGCGAAACTTCGCATTACATTTAGCCAAGACAGAAATTCATAGCGCTTCTTTCGTCGTTATGCAAAAGAGGAAACTAGAGGTGTTTTCATTTCAGTAGAAGGAGACTTAAACACAAACCTCAAATTATGAAGAAGATAAAGAGGGACGAGAATGTTCATGGACGGCTAAGATCGTTTGAAGGTTATTAACACAGACTGCAAACTAAAAACTAAGAACATCTAGGCTGAAATTTATGAAGACGGACAAGCCACGACGTAGAGAACAAACCCTTTTCTTCCAAAGATCTACTCGCCTCGGCTCTCTGTCTTCAGAACATTTCTTATAATTGTAGCTGTTGGAATTTCGTGTTAAATAAAATAATGTCCTGTCGTTGATAGTTTTCTCTCTTTGGTCACCTTTTTCAATCTAGCTCTCATCCCAATTCCTAACAGTATTTCTCTATCGTATCTAATTAACGGCCACCACTTAAAAAAAAAGTCAGTAAAACGAGACTAAATCTTATTTATCTTACTTTGCCGATTTTGCGATCTTTGCTATGAGGACAATCCTTTCCAACCAGTAGATTTTTAACTTTAGCAATCGAAACTAAAATCAACAAATACAGAAGTTTAGTACACAAAGAAAGTTCTAAACAGTAATAGTCCCCCAGGTTGAGGTTGGCATCAGACATAAAAAGTATATAGGGCCCAGTTGAGATTGTCGAAGATCATTCCTGTTACTGTAACCATAACAGGCTACCCCTATCAGTTTTTTCAAGTAACCTCGACTATGTGCCAGCGGGCATTTAATCATTTCCTGAGTAGAAAAAGGAAGTGATCCCCATAGACCATTCTGACACAGATAACCAGCTTAATTGTTATTTTGATTCCACAGTTGGGATAGACAAAGTAAAAGCATTTCTGTAATACAGCCATCTAAATTTCTCTACCATCTAAATCGCTACTATGGCTGGGCGTTGACATTTACCTCAAGTAGACTTGGTCTTTTATCCTAAAGCAAAGAAGAAACATAACACTTACATTTGTTTGGAAGATTCTCCAACGAAGGCGTTTGTCCTTCTTGACAGTCGCCATAATGCAGAAATTTTAAATTGGGTGACAGCCGACAATACCAGTATCTATCTAAAGTAAGACAGGAAAAGAGCCACAACAATTAGCATCTCATTGGGTTCAACTCTCGGATAGAAACAACAAAAACAATATTATGAAGACCACAACTTTCGAAGTAAAACACCTCGTCTGTTGAAGTAAAAAAACAAGGCGTCACGTTTTTACGACCGTGGTTGGTCGGTGATTCTTACCTCGTCCTCGTCCTCTCCCTGGGTTTTTGTCAAACAGGGCTCCCTGGATGAGTTGATCCAATCTCTGACGAGAATCAACGTGAGATGTAAAGTTGGAAGAATTAATAATTAGACAAGTTTAAAAAAAGCTCAGACCCGCTCACACGGATTTCAATAAAAGCCGTCTGTCTAGTTTGCAGGAAGACTCATCTTCGAGTTTCATCTTCGGTTCCTTTTCCGGGAATCGCCGCCCATGAAAACATCGGCAGCCGCTTATGAAAAAAGTTATTAAAAACCCAGCGCTCACATTAAAGAAATGGCTAATAAAATAAGTTCGAGCAATATCTATTTTACGTACACACTGAAACAGTGGATAGTGTTTCAGGCAGGCCTGGATTAGCTACTTAAACTCCAAAAATCCTTTCCTATTCATCTTTGAGTATTTACGCCCGAAATTATTGTGATCGTTGCAGGAATACATGAGTTAAAAATCATCTTTTTGTGCTATATTATATCACTGTTTTAGTATATTCTACGACAACTAGTCACCTGAGAGTCGGTGGCTAGTGATGGATATGTACGTCGCTGCTTCGCGGTTCGGTAAATATTCACCACTAGCCACCTCCACGTCGGTGAATAGCTGTTGATGATAGAGATTTGGGGCTACCTGTTGTTTGACTAATTCTTTTAGTTCGGGCAGAACTTGTTCTCTAAGTTCTCTGTAGATGAACAATTGACAACGTTTCAATTTTACAATCAAATGTTACTGGAGTTATTAGCAAACAACCCCATAAACCAGACGGTCAGAGTGTTGACACATCGAGTAAAATTTTGATTAAGCTCAAAACACAATGGAAAGTCAACAGAATACCTGTAATTAACTGAACTAAACTCAGT